TGTTGCTCAATTTTATATTCCACCTATGAGTGAAATCATACGGTTCTTAGCTTTTTCTGCCTGACTTATTTGGCTGAACATGATATTCTCAAGGTCCGTCCATGTTTTTGCAAATGGCAATATTTCATCTTATGGCTGAGTAACATTCCATTGTATATGAGTGTATGCACCACATCTTCGTTATCCAATCATCTACTGAAGGATACTTTGCTTGTCTCCATGTCTTGGCCACTGTAGAAGTGTTATGTCTTCTTCATGTGTTAGTCTTTTTGTATATAAGGAAATAAACCCACTAAAATTAGATCATGGCAAAAAAGAAGGAGCACTCTTTTAAGAATACAACAGGTAAAAGCCGAAGACAGTAAGCAAAACATATCTGAGCCACACAAGTCCTGGGCTGGGATGCTGAAAACCAGAAGGTCACTCACGTTCACTCCCAACACCGCTTCTCTCCAAGTGTCTGCTCCACGCCTCCCTTGAAGTCTACAACAGATTCCTCTGCTGGTTCACCTTGCAGAAGTTCAATGTGGCCTCTTTCACTCACTCTTTAAAGCTGCATCATGGCTTTTCAGCTGCATTTGGTGCAAAATTCTCAAATGACAGCAAGCCTCATAGCTCAAGCCAGAGTTAACCGCAGTCACAGCACCGTCAGTGGATGGGCTGGGTTTCTGTGAGGCATCTGATGAGATCAGTTGTGACCACACAGGGGCAAGGCCATTCCCAGGGTATGTGGGGCTGCCTCTCAGAGAGATAGGTTTTCTAAAGTGGACTCCAGGAGGTGTGAGCACTGATGGCCGTATGGACTATTACCTTCTACTTGGGGGTTGGTACCTTTCTATGGGCTTCTATCACCTTGGGGTACACTTTCATAGTTTTCAACATACTGTACTACAATTAAATGCTAATATTTCTGTCCCTCCCATTGGGATAGGAGCTTCTTGTGAAGATGAATTATTCTTGTTTTTCTGCTTTATTTCCAGTATTTCTAGTACAGTAAACTGTAGGTAATCAATAAGTGTGTGTTCAGAGGGCTGGTGTGTTAGCATTCAGTATAAACATTTTCAATCTATCTTTCATACTAAATATATTACTTTGATAATTATTTATAGCTAATGAAATATATTAATATGATAATTTCTTTTTCTTTTTAACCTTTGTGCATTTTACTCTATGCCAAGTATAATATGTCCATTTCTTATATCTCAGTTCTAGAGTCCTAGAGTCCTAAGTCCTTGTTTTATTTTCTCCACAGAGAATGGAGATGAATTATAGGAAAAAATGCTATATTTTACAAGAATTAAGTAGATGGTAAGTTACGGACATCTAAAATCTCTGGAGCAGAAACTAGAGTTCCTTATTTAAAAAGTGATTACTAAGGAAATCACTCTTTAAAAAAAGCTAAAATTCAACAGAGGAATTGACATAGGATAACAAAAAATAGTTTTAAGATAAACTTAAAGAAGTAAAGGAGGAGCAGAGGACAAATGAAAAAGTTAAAAGACTTGAGGCATATAAAAAATGACAGTAAAGTGACGAGTGTCAGCAGATGATCAGCGACTCTGGGTTCTGTGCAAAACGAGGTCTAAGAGACGACAGGGAGGGACAGAGACCTCAGACAAGCAAAAAGTGAAGGACTGACAGCCCTGCCTTTAGATGAGGTATATATTTCCCATTTTCCCACAGTTTCCGTAACTCTCGATTGCCTCTTACACTTCTGGGTTCACGTGACGCAGTTTGGACCCGACTGAAAACAAGGTGTCTGCCTGCCATCCCAGACCCTAAGTGTTCCTTCCTGCCTCCCCAGCCTCTCCCCCAGTGGAGGCATATCCAGCTGCAGGGCGCAAACCTTCCCCAGAGTTACATGTACGTAAATCATGCCTAATTTACGTAAAAATAGAGTGGGGATAGTCTCTCTCTCTCTCAGGGGTAGGGATTGGATGATTTAAATGCAAAAGAGAATAAATTTAAATTTTTATGTAAATCTGGGGAATGTTAAACATTGTTTTGACATCGAGAGATAGCAGTGGGATTTGATGGCATTATTTGTGACAGCGTTTTATAAATGAGGAAACCAAGTCTCAGAGAGTTCTTGTATCTTCTGCCAGGCCACATGGCTACCCCCGCTCATTCCAGAGGGCGTGCTTTGGTGCTTACAAAAAAGAAAGAGGAATGAAGATGTCATACAAAAACCTTAAAAATAAGTTAGTGTCATAGAAAAACTTTTTTCTAGGTCTCTTAAGGATTAAAGAGCCTTGTGGTGTTTTTCCTTTTAAGACTGGGCTGGGTGTTTCAGATGTCTGGGTGTTTCACCAGAGAATTGGAGAAAGCTGGGAAGCTTCAGAGCAGCTGCAAAAATAGTTTGCGGCACATTTCATTTTGTAAAAGCTGAGAAGAGTCGCTGCTCAGCCTTGAGAGGTCATAGTTCAAACATAGAATAATAGGCTTTGTTTGGTGTTTTGGCCTGTTCTACTCTAAAGCACGAAGGGAGAAATGTTTAAATACTTCTGTACAGTAAAACTTAAGAAATCTTATAAAATATTCAACTATTATCTTCATGATGCACTAGGGTAGAGCCCTCAATCCCTGAAACAAAGTGTTCTAGGACTGAAGGTGAAACATTCCTTGTTCACCTCTGCACTAACCGGAGAACCAAGTTGTGTTGCGGTTTCATGTCCCCTGACCTCATGATGCTTTGGGGTGTAAAGCTGTCCCTCAGACCATTTAGAATCTAAGCAAGACCAAGGCAAGGCGTCATGACAGGCATTGGGATGTCTGCAGCTAAACGATATGAGGGGCATACTTGATTCATTCTTATTCCTCTGGTTTTAGAGCTGCAACTGGATTTTTATAGTGACCCATAAAAGCCCCAACTGGCACAGGCCAGGCTTGAGCTGAAGGCAGAGGCCACATCCTGGTGGCGTGTGTGCCAGGCCCACCCCGCAGATGTGCTACATTTGGTTTGGCCTTTAAAGTGTTTAAAGAAATTGGTTTTATGAATTTCGTAGACAAAAATTTTGCAATCTGGAGTATTCAAACAAACATCTAAATTTCCTGTTTCTCTTGAGAAATCTATCTGGCCACAATGGGCACCCCATCTAGTTCCTGATGAGTAAGTGCTGCCCCCATTGGCGGGGTGCATCCTTGGCCTGAAAGAGGCTGCCTCACTTATTTTTGGTTCCTGAGGATGCCTAGATGTTTGAGTTTGTGACCCTGAAGACTGCATGCTGACTTTTCCAATGGCTGAACTCTTTGAAGTGATTTTTTGCCTTGGGATGCAGACAATACACTTACTCCATTTGTTTTGCCGGGTTCACAGCCACTTTGGAATGTCTGTTGATTGGCTTTTAGAAGTTTTGACACTCATTTGATCGGTCTCCTTTGAGCAAATCTTTGTCCTTGAATTTGATTTTTGGGAACAGTTATGGGAAAATTTGGAGCCAAGTCTGGGGTAAAAAATATGTGACTATGAAATGTTGAAAACTTGTTTCTCTTGGGTGGTTTGGAAGCTGACTCAAAGGTAATTAAAAAAAAAGCTCAATAATGCTTTGACAGATCACTTTTCCTTTTTCTAAATGTCAGTTACCCTCCCCACTAAGCCTTTGAAATATCCTATTTGTGACTCTATAATGCATATATGACTTGGGTTTTAACTTTTTGTTTATTGCTTTCACCCCTTTGGACCAGACTGTAAGCCACTTTGGAAAGATTAATTTTTATTCATCTTTGGTGTAGTATGCATGATTGGAGGCTAACGCTCGAATTGAAGGATTCATTATTGAGTGAGTGAGTGAGTGAATGAGTGAGTCAATGGAAATGGAAAGCCTTCCAAGTTGACCACATTAAAGGGGACAACACGCACTTTATCGGTGAAACACCTGTTGTCATTTTAAAAACTATTTGAATATATTCATGTAATCAAAACGAATTGAACACGACTTGTTTTGGATTGTATCATTTCCCCCATCCATGAAGGCAGTCCCAGGTATTTGCAACGCCCTCGGAAGTCACTGGTTTCCCCTTGAGAGGCAAGACTCCCTTCACCACACATTTGTGGTTTTTCTAACTGATGAGCAAGGACATGTAAAAGTTGTAGAATCAAAGGTGAATCAACACCCACCGAGAATTACAGCCTACTGTTCATGTCCTGGTTCAAAAAATAAACTATCAATATAGTTCAGTTTGCGTTAGATGTTCGATGTCAGTAACCGAGTATCAACGTCAGGAGAGGGCGACATGGTACTTTGAAGCCTTCGGTATAGAAAGTGTAAAAGAACCTAAACATAAAGATTTTAAAGCAAAAGCAACGACAAAAGTCCAGCACCTGCCCCCTCGCCACACACACACACACACACACACCCCGTGGAAAACTAAGTATTCCTTCCGTGTGTGTTTTGTAAAACTAGATCGTTAAGGCTGGATGTTCCGCTGTCTTAGCATAAATAGTGCGTAGCAGGGCTTTGAAGGAATCTTGTTCGTTTCTACGCGGGAGAAATAGAAGTCGCGGCGCCCCTGCTCGGCCCTGCAGGGCGTTTGCAGAGCATCCAGAAACCCGCGCCGTCGGCTCCGCTCTCCCACCTCGCAGCCCCGCCGCTGCACCCTTCTGCTCCCGCTCTATTTCGGGGCCCCATGAGCTCATGCCCTCTGCAGACCACACTGCAATTCCAGTCCCGTCCGGCCCGAGCCGCGAGGCCACGCAGGGCGATCCCTGCAAGTGTTCGCAAGGTGGCCGGGGCGCGGGGAGGGGAAGGCTTTGGAGGAAGGCGAAGACACGCCCACGTAAAGGACCCAAAATAACCGACACGCTGTGTGCTCCAAATCAGACAGGAAGCCAAATAATCAAGGGCGTTGAGTTGCTTTCCCCTTACTCCGAGCGCAGGGCGAAGGGCGAGGAGCCAAGGCTCCGGCCGCGAGGGGCGGTCGCCCGGCGGGCAGGGCGGGGCGGGGCGGCCGCGGAGCCTATTAAAGGCGCGGCCGGGTGGCGGGGCGGGAGCGCCGGGGCCGCGATGGAGCGCGACGGCTGTGCGGGGGGCGGGAGCCGCGGCGAGGGAGGCCAGGGCCGCCGGGTGGGCCCGGCGGGCAACGGCCGCGACGCGAGCGGCGGCCCGGGTGCCCAGGCGCCCGGGGACCCGCAGGCGGCCGCGTCTTTGCTGGCCCCCATGGACCTGGGGGAGGAGCCGCCGGAAAAAGCGGCGCGCGCCCGCCCCGCCAAGGACCCCAACACCTATAAAGTGCTCTCGCTGGTAGGTGCGCGGCCCGGGGTCCCGGGCGGGGAGGGCGGCGCCCTGCTCCTGCGCCGCGATCGCGGTCTGCGCCCGGTGCCCGGAGAAGGCGCGCAGCTCGCCGCGCGTCTCATCCACGCTCCGCTGGCGGCGATTCTTGCTCATCGTTCCCGAGCCTGCACTTTTCCCCGGGGGAATAACTGTGCACTCTCCCTGGCAGTACCTGATGCGTATAAAAGGGCCTGTTGATTAAAGCAGGCTGTTAAAAAAAAAAAAAAAGTGATCTTTAGAAATGCCACTTGTAACCCTCAGAGAGTACAAGGTTCTTAGAGGGAAAAATGACCAACCAGAAAGCTGTTGGTCTTGGGAACCGCCAATAATGTGTCACCCCTGCTGGGTGGCGTTTGGGTGGCTCTGGGAGCAGTGTCGCGGACTTCGCCGATCCCATTAGCTGATTCCACTCGGAAAGATTTAGCGGAGCTCAAGTTTTATCAGAACTTTCGAAAACACATTTCCCTTCGGTTCTGTTTAAGAATTTCCTTGCAGCTGTTCAAAATGTGTGTGTAAAATGTTTATGACTCTACGTCCACTCTTTTCACCATAAGCTACGTGGTTTTGTTGCTAACAGAAGTCCTCATTATTCCTCCGCTATTTTGTTATGACAGTTACAGGATCCACAGTAGTTTTTGAAATGGGGGGGAGGCAGTTGTTTTTCAGTCGAGGTCTGTGGTGAGGAGTGCTGTACTGAGTGAGGATCTGAAGCAGGTGTTCTTGGTTTCATGCCGGAGATTGCTGAGGCCTCGGATAACTTGTCCTTGAACCCCAGTTTGTTCTGTGTTAAAATGAGAACAACATCAACCCCCTTGCACGTTGCATAGGATTATTGTGAGGATCACATGGAACAATGTATGTGGGGAAGTCAATTGAAATCTATGAGGAGATGCAATTATGCCTATTGTGTTATTTGGAAAGAACAGATTTCTATGTGCAGGGTACCCTAAAATATATCCTCACTTATATATTATGATTGGACAATGCTGTATAGAGAAAATCTTTTGATTTTGAAATCTTTTTTTTCTTTCATAAGAATTTCCATTTTCACCATATTTTGGGTATCATGGAGATGTTAGAGTACTTTGAGGAACCAGTCACATGTTTTTATCTGAAGATATTTGTTGCATTATATGTCACCATTGATGGGAACTTAGTTTTGTCTAGAGTCACATTTTTCCCTTTTGTTACAAAGGGAGACCTTAGCTTTTATATCCTGATCATCTAAATTATTTAGTATCAGTACTTCCAGGTATTTAGCACATTACAAGGGATTCAGTAAGTATATATTGAATCTGTATGTGAACTGCAATGTGAAATCCTATCTACCGTATTTTTCGGACTATAAGATGCAATTTTTCCCCCAAATTTGGGAGGAAAAGGTGTGTGTGTCTTATAGTCAGAATGTAGCTTACCTGGCTCTCTAGGGGTGGGGCAGGGGGAGCAGTGGCCTATGTTATTTATGTTATTAAATATTTTACCACATTTTTTGCTTCAAAAATCTTTTTTCTGTTTTCCTCCTCTAAAACCTAGGTGCATCTTATGGTCCATTGTGACTTACAGTCCAAAAAGTTTGGTAAATATTCATAGTCTTGAAATGTGAAATAAATTTCTAAGTGCTAAATTTAGTTTTTAAATCTTTCCTGCTCATTTACTTAGAGTTCCACAATCAGTGTCAGTAAAAGTCTACCTGTGGACCACACACTCCGACCTTTGACCCTTGTAATCTGCTGGCCGGACGGCGTTCTGTTCTGCTCCGATGACACAACTTTGGGCATTTGACACAGAAGATCCTATGACTTATGTCCACAAGTAGGATGATGCTGAATATTTTTTATCTCATTAGATGGGGTCTTCTGCTCTAACACAAATTGAATTGGAAAGAACCTTTGCCTCATGTCTTTTGATGAAATTCTGTTGAACATTACTATACACCAAAACTTATTGCCGTATTTTTAAACTCTTTAACTTGTCCAGTTTTCTTTTTGTTCCCTACGTCAATACCCTTCTTCCCCCAGACCTTTTCCAAATGATGTACATCCGAAGGGCAAAGTCTCCAAAAGAAATGTGACAGTTGTCATCAAAGAGCTCTGAGTCATGTCTTCTAGAAAGAGCTGCAAATATGGGATTCCTTTTTCAGTGTAAACATGAGCATACTTTTCATAAAGCTAGAGAAATGGATTGGCTCAGTGCATCTGGGGTTGAGGTTATGAGAGGCAAGCCACATAGGAGGTCCATATGCACAGTTTGTATCTAGTAGGATAAATACGAGAGGCGCCCTGCAGGAGAAAATCAGTGGCAACCTGACTATTGCATTTTTATGAAGATATTTCAGATAAACTTAAATAATGTAGGTATGTGAGTGGCTGCAGTGGGTGGGGTAGAGATTCTGCCCTACCCTCGCTTCTCCCTAGTGTGGTATTTGATTCCAAGGGAAGACCATCTGGCTGTATTCTAGGCACCAAGCCAAACTCTTGAGAAAACTCTCAAGAGTTTTCTGCTTGTATAGAAAGTAGTATTCTCTTTATGTTCATGGGCTTGTTAAATACTAGACACCTTTCCTTGGTTCCAGATTAACTTTTGAACTGAAATGTCCATTTCCACTGCAGTTGGACTTGAAGATTTATCTAAAATGTCCTTGTCCCTTGGTGTGATTTTCAAAAGATTAGGTAACTTTTAACCACATGGCAGTACATTTCCTCCATTCTCCCGTGAGCTGGTCTACAGCATTATTTTTTTGTGTGACCTTCTGCTGTGCTTATGAATACATAGACCTCTGTATGTGTAAAGGGCCTATGTGTCGGTGGTGGTGAGTGAAAAGTACTTTCACCTTTTAATGAAAGAGTTCTTTCTAAGTGGCAGAAGTAGCCTTGTTTATCAGAAATTCAGACATGAATGTTATGAATTCTGTTAGCTCCTCTCTTCTTCCTCTTGCAACACATTATGTTATTTCTAGAATTCAGCATGTAGAATATTTGAGATAGTTCTCTGCTCCTAATCTGAATTGGAATTGGCACTGCTCTTTGGTTTATAAAATTTAGCATCTGTCCAGCCATAGTTTCACATTTTATTTCAGATGACCAGAGCATCTTAAAGACCAGAGGCCTCCTGTTTGCCACTTATAGTATTTGTTTCACATGTTCTAATAAAATGTGCCAAATGTTTCTTGCAATCCAGCATGAATGCTGTGTTTGCTACCAGGCCTAACAGTGCCTCACACTCCACGTCAGCTTTTGGTTGAATGAGTGAATGAATGCACTGCATTTTCACTTACACCTGGTGGCACTTTGACTTGGAAAAGGGCTAAGTGGAAAGACAAAACATGCAACCCCTTACTCATATAGCCAGTTGAAGGTCGGGAACCCAAAGGTAGGTCCACTAAGAGAGATGAAACTTGGGTATAAATTTAGGGAGATCAAACATTTCATTAGCATATAATGATAACTAGCACTATAATATATAATTGTATATAATTATTGCTATAGAATGGAGATGGAAGAGTCAATGAGTGAACTATAAACAGAAGTTACAACAAAGGCCAGTGTAGTTAAGCAGCCAAGCAGGGCCCCTGTGATAATTTGCATTCACACCTAGGTTCTGGCCACTGGACATTCATTCGCTCAGGTACAAACAACCCAAGTGTGACCATCCGGCAGGCACAAGGAAGGCCATCCTATAGGTGCAACAATGAGGCTTCTTCACTTACACCAATGTCTCTTCTGTTTTGGCGACTTTGCTGTCTCACCCGAATTCAGTCTTTGTGGCTATTGTAGGGAACGGTTTTCTCCACACTTGTTTTCTCTTCCTTTCTTGTGCTTTGAGTCAAATTCTAGTCTTTATCTGTCCCAGCGTTTGTATCTCAGCTGTTTCTACTTCTTTCAGCCTCTCTCATGGACACACAGCCACCCTTTCAATATCTTCCTTCTTCCTTTCTATTCTCCAGCACTTTTTCAGTTGACTCTGGACACTCAGTTCTGCCGTCTTCTGTCTTATCATGTCTTAATTTTGTTTTTGATGAGTCCGTTGCTAAATATTTGCGACTTTTAAGATATAGCTAATGTATTTTTATCGATAGCATGGCTTGTTGGACAATAAGCCAGAGAACTTAATTGTGATTCATAATTTTTTTTTTTGTCCTGGGGAAGGGCATTTCAAGTTCCAAACAATTTAGGAACAAATAAGCTTTTGGGATACAACTTGTAATTAGAGATCTGCATGCCTTTGGTTAAAATAAACATGCCTCTGTCAACTATGAAATGTCCCCCAAACAACAGGAAATAAACAGAGATGCGTCTGGCAGAACAGGGATGACTCTGTTAAGCCTAAATCCTGTGCAACCACAGTTGATAATCAGACCGCTGACCCACCACGAAAAGCTAAGTTATGTACTTATCAATAAAAGAAAATTTAATAATACATTTAAGAGAGCATTAAAAAAATTGTCCATAAAGTTGAGCTAAATATTAACTGGCTAGAGCATCCCATTTCCTGAGTACTTCAGTTATCTGAGATTGAATTACAAGAATTAGGATAACATCTGTAGTATTTTTCATTTTCTTCTTCACTCCCTTTTAGAATGAGATTTGGCAATATAGTGATTTGGCAAATGATTGTGATTATTCATATAGCACTTTGCAGATTTAGAAAGCATTTCCATATATTTTTCTAAAAAGATTTTATTTATTAAAAAATTTAAAAGATTTTACTTACTCGTTTTTAGACAGAGGGGAAGAGAAGGAGAGGGAGAGAAACATCAAGTGTTATTGCCCCTCATGTGTCCCTTACTGGGACCTGGCCAGCAACCTAGGCATCTGCCCTGATCAGGAATCGAACTGGCAACCCCTTGGGTCACAGGCCCGCACTCAGTCCACCGAGCCGTGCTAGCTAGGGCAGATTATATTTATTTTTAGAGAGAGGGGAAGAGGGGGAGAGAAAGAAACATTGGTGTTCGAGGGAAACACTGATCAGTT